GGGGCTCTTGGACATTTCAAAGACGGAACGCCATGCGGCACTTCCGCCTTTGAAACCTAATAATAGGCCAACGGGCTCTCGCTACATTTCAAAGCGGAAGCTACCTTATCGACTAATCCAATAGTCGATGGAAATTCCATTGACTATTTGATTAGTTGATTATTATGATTTTAACATCCGTACTTCATACTGGTCCTTCAGTTGGAGCATGCCCAGCAGGGCTGTAGGAGTGGAGCTCTCTCAGCCAAATAGTTTTGGCTGTCTGCTTCCAGCCCACTGTGGGGTTGGTACATCCTGTCACAGGGCTGAGGAAGCATTGTGGGGCAAGATCAGCCTAGATCCCAAAGGTATCAGGGAACAGGTGAGACAAGAATACCAATGAGATGGTGAAGCAGTTATCCAGTTTGCAAATGCACATTCAGGTTTTCCTAGCAAAATTATCTGAGCAAGGGAAGCAAGCCCATCTACTACTTGACAGGTAGGTAGTGAGGGAAATTACTTAGTAAAATCTTGGATTAAACAACTTGAAAGGAAATGGATCCTTATTCGGGAGAAACCTAGTACAGTAGACTTCCGATAATCCGGCACCCTTGCGACCCAGGTGGTGCCGGATTATCAGAAATGCCGGACTATCAGGAGGTACTCTGGCAGGGGCGGGTCTCGTCGAAGGAGAAGCGGAGGAGGGGGCGGGGGTGTGCCAAACCTTCCCTCCTGCTGCAGGGAGGCAGAGCCTGCGAGCGGAAGAGGAGAGGCGGTGACAGGCAGGCAGCTGCATTCAGGACGTTCTGGTCAGTTACAGTCACTCCGGCTGGATCCACAGCCGACACGCAGTTAATGTAATTTTCCTCTCTACTGCCGGGAGGAGGGGGGGCGGGGGAAGGTAGGGGTCGGTGGGAGAGGGAGAGGGGTCTCCCACTTTGCCTTAGTGGAAGATGGAACTTCTCTGGCCCAGGAATTTGTTTTGAGACAACAGTACATCAGAAATAAATCTGAGAAAAATTAGCGTAACTAAACAAGAAACTGTGTGGCAATGTTATATTATGCTCTAGCATATTACTTATAACTTCCGGCAGTAGAGAGGAAAGTTACATTAACTGCGTGTCGGCTGTGGATCCAGCCGGAGTGACTGTAACTGACCAGAACGTCCTGAATGCGGCTGCTTTGGCACACCCTCGCCCCCTCCTCCTCTCCCTCCCGCTCTCCCACCGACCCCTACCTTCCCCTGCCCCCCCTCCTCCCGGCAGTAGAGAGGAAAGTTACATTAACTGTGTGTCGGCTGTGGATCCAGCCGCAGTTAATCAATTACTCTCAACTTGAAGCAGCTGCCGGAGCACTTCCGGGTTGCAGTTGGTACCAGACCATCAGGCGTACCGGACCACTGGATGCCGGACCACCGGAGTTTTACTGTATTACCATTCAAGTCCAGCAGTACCAACGCTTGGATGGCCAGACAATGTTTAAAGTACTCCAACTTTGGAAGACTGTACACCACAACATAATATGAAAGGCCAGTTAGTGCCTGACCAGGAGAGATCCCTCTGTTACAGTGTGCTTTTTATAAAAATGTATCTTGATAGGGAAAAAGGCAATATGCCACATTTATTGAGAATACAATGGCAAAGAAGTTAACATATGCTTACGCGCACACACACTCTGTCTCACTCTGTCCCACCAATCAAAGTTATATTTATCAGTCCATGGTCTATAGATTGATCATGGTCAGAGGATTGGAGTGGACTGATGCTCCAGTCTTGATAGGACGTCCCCAAAGTTTCATGGCAAAGCATTCCGTTTTTATAGTAGTTTTTCTTCATTGGAATCAGTAAGTTTTGCATCATCATGCAGTGTCTGATGGATGTTTATCATCTCCAGTTGTTTCTCTTGCCCCTTATCTTTGTTCTTCCATACTAACCTGGTTTCAATCACATATATCTTGTCCCGATTGATAAATGCTCACCCTCTTTTGTTAGGCCTTGTATTTGGTGCTGTTCAGTATCCCTGGTTCAGTGGTGGCCTCCACTCATATCTTACACACTCCTTACTCTCACACATAACAAAAACAAGAATAAGGGTTACAAACAAAATTTCAAAAAAAGCAAATCATTACATTATTCCTCTATGCTATATTAAAATATCTACTTTAAAATTAAAAACAAAATAAACATAAACATCTAAATCTAATTCTACAATAATTCTAAATCAAATAATTCTAAATAATTTCAATAATAACTATAAATATCTAAATCTATTTTTACTTGAAAATAATTTAGCAAAGTATAAAACAAAAAATATCACTAAAGTTAAAAAAAATAGGTTTTTTTTTTCTACTACACTTCAACAGCCCTAGGTTATCAAGACCCAAGATGAGAGAGTCAATTTACTAGAAAGTGAGATGGTGGGCCTCGATAATTAAGCCTCAGGGAACATGAGATGCAAGACAAACAGGAGAAGACAATAGCTCAAATCCTTGGAAAAGGAAGCTGTCAATCAAGGAAGAAGGACATGCCTGAGGAAGGGTCAACTTGTTTCTGTGACCAGAGATTTAGAAGCAATTGTATGAGACCCTACCTAAAAAGGAGTTTAAAGGAAGACTAGCTTATAAGCAAAGGAGATTCTCTCAGAGGAGAACAACAGAAGTGATTCCCCAGTAGATATCACGCACTATCAGATGTAGGTGCAAAAGAAATAAGCTTTGGTGAGCTCTTTATTGAAGATAGTGATTAAAAAGATGTGATTGGTATTAATTGGACTTCTTAAGAGGGAGTTGGATTATGTGAAAAATGACCTAATCTCGGAAAGATGTGCATTCAGTTAAAGGTATCAGGAAAGCTGCTTCTAAAAAGAAACAGCTTGCACACTTTTACTTATGGCAAGAGCACATTGCTGTTTAATCTTCCAGAACAGCATCAGAGAGAACTTGTTTTGAATGATGATGTACAAGAGATAGGGGAAGAGTTTGTTCACTACATGATTTCCATAGGACTTACAGGAACATGACACATGGTATCATATCTCACTGATAAAAATAGAGATTTTATTTATTTTAAGTTAAAGGGCTTGCATACTGCTTTGAGACGTCCCCAAAGTTTCATGGCAAAGCATTCCGTTTCCTGGATGGAAGAAATGATCAAGGGAGGTAAATACGGCAGGGGGATTTAAAAATTCTTTTCATTCATAGTAGGACAGGAATAAAGTTCATGGTGGTGTCCACAAAGGGTTTATTCTTGTTAATTGAAAGCACAGTTTTCTAGCATTGTTAAATGTAAACTGCTTTAGAATCAGTTAAATCACTGCTGCTTAGAGGAATTATGTGGCCTGTGGTTTTGTACAGTGTTATTGCTTGTTACACACACTTTTTTTCTTTATTTTTAGGTTCGTGAGAAATTTAGAAAGCATTCTTCAAATCAAAATAAAAAGGGTATGTAAACTGACCTTTATGTTTGCAAATATTTTACTCTGTATTTCCTCTTGTCAGCTTTACTTGATCCCAACAAACCATGTGTTACAAGAATAATATGGATAGTTTATTAGGATGACATGCATGCAACCTCTTAGTATGATAAAAGAATCAAAGTTTAAATTGAGCATTTAGTTTTCTGCATTAGGTGTAAATAACTCTGCTTTGTTAATGAGGTATTTTTGAGTTATTTCAGCTATGTGGTCTCATGCCCCAGTCCTGCAGTGTCTTAATTTAACATTGTGAAGAGTGCCATTGAAGTCATTTGGGCCAGGATCTAGGGTTTTGGTTTGATTGGATGACCCTTTTTTCTGTAACTAAATATGCATTTATGTAGAAAGAAAGAATTGTTTTGCAGTTAAGTCACTGGTCTGGGAATTGGGAAATATGAGCTGAATTCTTGAATTTTGGTAGACTTGTGTGACCATGGGCAGTTTTTGGCTGCATTTGTATTCTCTCTGCTGTACCGGCTATCTGGCCAGACTTTGAACACCAAAAAGACCATAACTTGGTTAATTGACAAAGATGCTTGGCCAAGTTTATTTTCTTAGTTTCCTGGACCGTCTTCACAGTTGCACTATCACATGTGTGCCTATTACAGTGGATTTGGCTCAGTGTGTGGTGGTCTTCTGCTCCCCCATAGGTGTCCCCCTCTTTGACCTTTCTTTTTATATGCTGATACAGGTAAGTTCCAAATGGCTTCTCTGCTGTGGTTAATTACCACTTTTTATCTTGTACATGTTGGTTTGATCAAAACATGACTATACATCACCTTGTCATCCTGACGTTATCTTCAGAAAGGGTCAGTATGTCCCTGTATCCTTCTCAGGGAGTATGTTTATTCATATCTTCATATTGGGATGTTCTGGTATTACCCTTCTGAATGTGTTTATGCAAGTATCCTGTGCCTAGCATTTCTTAGGAATGTGTGTTTTTGTAATGCAAACCCTGTTCTTGCCAATTCATGTATCAGACATTGAACCTGTAAGCAAACATCTATTTTGTAACAGTGTCTGACTTTTTGCTTATAGACGGACTCTTGCTAAATTTGCTTTGTTAGGATAGCCTGACTTCAGTTTAGGCCTTTTATTAGACCCCATGCTTCAGGTGCTCTCTACTACACACATCACTTAATCTCTCTAGACTCTTCTATACAGAGAAACTTACCAGCATTGTTATATTGATATAGCTCCCCATGTAGAAACTTATGCGGGAAAATACAGTGGAATTTTTTCAGTTTAAAAATGGCCACTCCTATTCCAGGTGTTTACACTGATATGATAGTATTGTTAAAGTTCTCTGTGTATTAGAGATGTTAAATATTGGTTAATTGAATTGTCAATTAACCTAATTAATTCTTATCTATTACTCCACTATTTTATAGACCCCAGGGGTGGGGCCGGCAGCCAGTGGGCTCAGGCCTCGCTCCCGACGCGCCCCCTGCCACTCTAATACAGAGGCAGCAGCGCAGGGTGGCAGAAACACTTGTCTGGGCTGTGTGTGTGACCTCCTGGACCCAATGCAAGCCAGAGCAGCAGTGGGGATAGGTCCCAGACCCAGAGTAAGCCAGGACTGAGCTGGGCTGCTTGCCCACCTGGCTCCTAATACACTTTAAATGCAGAGCTATAGCTGGGATAAGTCCCAGACTCAGCGCAAGCTGGGATTGAGCTGGGCTGCTGGTCAGCCTCCTAAAAAATGTACTGGCGGGGAGGGGGAGAATGCGTGTAGTCCACACTCAGCGCAAGCTGGGATTGAGCTGGGCTGCTGGTCAGCCTCCTAAAAAATGTACTGGCGGGGAGGGGGAGAATGCGTGTAGTCCACTGATGTCCAACCTTTTTAAGCACAAGATCACTTTTTCCATTTAAGTGCAATGTAATATCTACCTCAAATCCAAATCCCCTTGTCCCATTGCCCTCCCGCCCCTTCTCTGAGGCCCCACCCCTGCTCCACCCCTTCTCTGAGGCCTTACCCTGCTCACTCCATCTCCCTTCCTCTCTGAACTTCATTCAGTTCCCCCAGGCTGGGGTAAGGGGTTGTGGTGCAGGGTCTGGTCTTGGGCCAAAGAGTTCAGAGTGTGGGAGGGGCTCCAGGCTTAGCCCCAGGTGGGGAATTGGGCTCCAGGAGGGGGTTCAGGGTGCAAGCTCTGGGAAGGAGTTTGGGTACAGGGGAACTCATGTCTGGGGCAGGAGGTTGGCTGTAGGAGGGGGTTCAGGATGCAGGCTATTGCTGGGCTCTGTTTAACTGAGACCGTTTCCAGGTGATAAACCATTAGGGTTAAGGCGGGCTTACTCCTGCTCTCACCCTGCACCACCACTCAAAGCAGCTGGTATGAACAGCAGTGCTGCCATGGCACCAACCCCCTGAATGTGTGTTGAGTTGGGAGACAAAAGGAGGACTATGTGTGTTGGTAAGAATGACAAAGACACAGTGTGTAAGAGTGAATGAGATTTGCATTGCCAAGCTCCAACCCCTTCTCTCTGTGTGGAGGTGAGGTATAGAAGTAGGGGGAGGAGGGACACCCTGACATCAGTGTTCCCTCTTCTCATTCCCATACCCTGCACAGCAAGCAGGGGGCTCCAAGGGGGGCAGCTCCAAGACAGAGGGCAGGAGCAGTATGACAGTCATTGGAGGGGCAACTGAAGTGCCAGCGCTTGATAGCTTCCTGGCCATACTAGTTGGGATCACGTGTCAGAGGCTCCAAGATCTACCAGTAGATGCTGTTCTATTCGTTGGTGACTACTTGTGTAGTTTATAGCAATAACCGATAAGCTTTTGCTATCGGTTAATCAACTACATTATTACATCCCTACTGTGTACACAAGGCCTCACCTCAGTTCCTTATTTGTAAAATAGGGCTAATATTCTTCCATTTATTGTCTATTTAGAGCAGGGGTCTCCAAACTTTTCAGCCCGAGGGCCGCATTAACTATCAAACAGCAGTGCAGGGGCCGACTACACACTTGAGGTCCAAATAAAAAACAATCAAAACATGGATGTTGTTTTTAATTATTTATTTAATATTATTTTATTCAGTTATTATTTAATAACACATTCATACACTACACATGAACATCTGTATTAGTGTGAATGGTGAAATTGTTTCCTGGATGCCAAAATAGCAGACATTTCTGGCTTTAGATTTGTTGTCCCTAACATCAACAGTGACCTGAGATTATCATTGGACAAGTTTGTTCTCAAATTGTTCTTCACGTATTTCATTCTTGAAAATGTTTGTTCACACAGGTATGTTGTTCCAAAGATTGAAAGGTACCTTGATGCAAAAGTTTTGACATTAGGAAAGTCTTCCTTGGGCAAAAACTGGTAAAAACCCACCAGTCCTATTTTGAACTTGTCCCTAAGGAGGTCATTTGCTTGCAACTCAATGACTTCCAGCTGCAGTTCGTCTGGGCAACTGGCCACATCTGCTTCAAATGGGTTTTGAAACAATCTCACTTCTTCTGCCTTTGAATCCAAAAAGGTCTCCACGGGCCGGATGAGAGGGCCTCGCGGGCCGCATCCGGCCCCCGGGCCGTAGTTTGGAGACCCCTGATTTAGAGTGTAAGCTGTTTGGGTCATGATCAGTGTTTCCTCTAAGATTTTCCATCCATGAGCAGAGTGAGTCTTGTCTTGTGCATCAGTATTGACGTCATGTGCGCTTGTTCAGATGTGTGCCACTGTGGCATCCACCAATTACTAACAAAATTATATTTTTTACTTAATTCACATTTTTGTATATGGAAAAATACTAAAACAAGGGATAATTAACAAGTTGCATGACCCTGCACCCACCCACCTTGAAAACCACCCAGCTTAGCACCAACTATCCTTGCTCCCAACGTTCCTACATCCATGAGCTCCCCAACCTCTACTCCCCCATCCTGTGCACTCTTTACCACTAACCCTGTATTGTACCCCCTATTTCTGCAGTGTCTCCTTCATCCCAACCCCCATGCGTTCCTCCCAGCTATGCCCCCAACTTCTTAATGCATATTTTTGGCTTATAAATGCTTAATGTAGCTGGAGCAGGTAAAGTTTTCAAAATTTGAATTTCAAAAAAGGGAAAAAATTGAAAATACATGAAATTTAAATATATGGAGATATATCATCTCATAGAGCTGGAAGGGACCTTGAGAGGTCATTGAGTCCAGTCCCCTGCCCTCACAGCAGGACCAAGTACCATCCCTGACACATTTCCCCCAATCCCTAAATGGCCCCCCTCAAGGATTGAACTCACAACCCTGGGTTTAGGAGGCCAATGCTCAAACCACTGAGCTATCCGTCCCTTTTAACTTTCTAGACAAAAATGTATATACAATTTTAATATTTTCTTAAACTACTTTTTGGGAAATTGAAGACTGGTAATTTGAGCATCAATATGTTGGTCAAAAGTTCATAGACCAAGTAAAAATGTGAGCACCTCAAGCAAATCTTTATTTTCACCAAAAATAAGATATAGGTAACTTCTGAAGTTGTGAGTAGCAGCTTTTTTAGACCTCTAAGTGTATTTCCCTCTCAGAAAGCCAAAGGAAAATATTTCTGTTTAACACAAATCATCAGGGAGAGATTTCAGATCCATTTTAGACAAGCATTCAGGAAGCACGTAATGATCCTTTTATTCATTTTGTATTTCCTGCCTACAAATTCCAAGCTCTAACCAAGAGATGAAACAGCCTCAGGATTAGTTTTTCTGCAACTCACCACCAAATACCCATGCACATGCTGTACTCGTTTCCACATGCACTAAATGACACTGCCCCTGACCTCTTATTTGACCACTGTGCTGGAAACTCAAACCTATCACTTGACTGTTTGCAGCGAGTCTTGGGCAATGCAGTGTGGTCAAGGCTTGAAGTAAAGTCACTCTACAGATGCCTGACATGTGAGGGAGCCTGGCTGTTCCCTGCAACCTTTTTAAAGAATAATCTTCCAGTAAAAACAAATGCAGATTAACGTTCTTGTCA